TTCCACCCAGGACAGAAGAACTCGGGGTCTAAGAAGTCACATCCCAGCCTCCAACCGCCAGGGAGGCCAAGGTGTCCCTGGGCCACTGTGGACTCTGCAGGGCTGGTGTGTCCCAGGCTCAGTGCAGGGAGGAGGACGGCCAGCTCTGCAAGCTCAGTGTGTGCAGGCCCAATGCTGGACCCCAGGGTTGAGCCCTCACCCACTCATGGCGGGGAGGTGAGGCACAGCTGGGCAGCACCCAACCTGGGCACCAGCACACAGCCAGGGCAGTGAGCACAGAGACCAGGTGCCGCCCCAATGCCCGACCACCTGGCCCAGCCCTGGCTCTCCCGGGGAGCCACAGATCATAGCGCAGTGAGCCATGGCTCTGGGCTCAGACCTACCTCCACAGCTGTCCGGAGGTAGATTCTCACTTTATTTTCAAGTCTGGAGGCTTCGAGTTCACACTCCAGGCATTCAATCTCAATCAGCTTTCCGGGGTCCTGTAACAAACAGCGCTGTGTGTGAAGAGCTGGACGAAGCCAACCCACACATTCGCCAACTTTGAGACCACTTAAGACACCACCGCCACGCCAGGTAGAAGCCCACAGAGGAGAACCACAGGCCGAAGMGAAGGCACATCCGAGAATCTGGACATGTTCCCCAGACACAAGAGCTCAGGGAGCAGGCGGAGGAAACCTCCACCCCATGCCCACCTGCTGTGGGCTCGGCTGCAGAGGGGACTTCGCAGAGGCTGGCCCTGCTTGTGGAATCAGAGCCTGATGTGCCCACCGTCTGACAATCCCTGCATGTCCAAGTACCACTGCAAGTGCGACGAGGTACGTGAGCCCCGAGGATTGTCGCCTGTCGCCTCTTCTCTCTGTGGCCAGCATCTTCTCATCACCGGCAGTGACATTCCCAGCGTCAGCAGGCGTCGTATGCTGGTGAGAAGAGCCTGCCTCCCCTCAYGCTGGACATGGGCTTCTTGCAGCAGCATGGACAGGACCTGCTCTCCCCAGGATGGTGGTATGTGCCTTGTCCCTGGCATTGGGCCATTTGCACTTACTGTCATCACAACGTGATTGGGTTCAGGGGACAGACCCTACTGATGCCACGCCACGTATTCCTACTCATCCCTCCTTTTCTTAATTCCATTTTCTCTTCTTCCGTCTTGTCTGTATCCACTGACTCTCCTTCATGGCTCCACTCCACCTGCATGGCTGGGTCCCCAGCCACAACAGCTGTGCCTGTTGCCAGTGTTGCTCCTGTGGCCTTCTCAAGACGTGCGTGCACACAGCAGCTTCGCAGAACCCTGCAGTCCCTGGGTGTGCGGCACAGTGCTCCGGCCAGCACAGTCCCTCCTGCCCTTGGGCCACGGCTGCCACAGGCCCAGTCCCCTGCCTAGAATCCCACAGGACAGCCTCTCTGGCCTCTCCAGATGGCTGGCTCCCTTTGCTGCCCTTCTTTGCCCTGCACAGACCCAACTTTCCCTCAGGTCCCATCTTCCAGTTGCCTGAGGAACTTCCTTTGGTTTCTGGAAGTGGAAGGCACACTTTTTCGGCTTCTGATTATCTTAATAAATCTTAGGAATCTCTGTTTTCAGTTTTGAAGATATTTTCCCTGGGTGCAGATTTCAGGGTGGATGCCTCTTGTTTGCGTAGAGATGATCTCTGTCTTTTGGTCTTATTGCTTGCAACAGGAAATCTGCTGTCATCCCAACTTCAGTTCCTCAGAACAGAACATCTTTTTTGAAGATTATCAGACTCAGTATCTTCGGCCATTAACCCCTCAAGCACCTTCCTGCTGCCCTTCTCTCCTCTCCTTCAGGGATTCTGTGGCGTGTTTATTACTCTGMGGGAAGCTGCCCAGCCCCACTCATGGGCAATGTTTTCTTCTCCACATTTCTCCTTCCTGGGTTTCATTCTGTTTCCATTACAGAACCTTCAGGTTTGCTGGGTTTTATTCTAAAATGTCTAACCTGTTTAAACTCTATCCAGTGCAGCTTCATTTGAGAGAGTTTTCAGCTCTAGAAATTCTGTTTGGGAGTTTGAATTATCTTCCTTGATACTATTTCATATAAAAGTTCAAACTTTTTACCTTCCTGAGCACCTGGAATACTACCATAACTGTTTCGGTGTCTGTRTCCACTAATCTGCAAAGTTTCTTGGTTGAGGGGTTTTGATGGGTGATTCTCTTCCTCTTTTCCTCTTGGGGTGTCTGGCAATTCTTTCTCGGATGCCAGACATCGTCAAGTTCACATTATTGGGTGCTGTGGACTCTTGTATTCTGTGTCTTTGAGATTCATCCTGGTATCCAACCACACCACTCAGAAAGAGTCTGTCCCTTTATTTTTGTGTCCCAGGCTTGTTATGCATGACCTGAGCAGTATGCAGCCTAGGGATAGCTTTCTCACTTTGGGGACAAATGCCTGAGTCTCCAGGACCTGAGGTTTTGTGCCTGCCTGGTGAGAGTGGGAACTGCTCCCCACCCTGCAGACTCACACCACGGCATCAGAAGAGGCCTGAGGTGGCGGGGGGCTGTGGAGCAGGGATCCTGGAGAGAGACCAGGGCTGGGCAGCATACCCTGCCTCTCTGTGCTCAAAGCCTGGGTTCCACTTCTAGGAGATTTGTCCGGTAGAGATAGAAACAGAGGCTCTGGGGGAGCAGGAAGGCCACTCGGCTGGTGAGGGTGGACCTCGGGTGCCGTCCAGTGTCGGATGGCGATGCTGAGTTTGGGMCCCTACATTATGAAAACCCAAAAGATGGGCATGAAGCCCACCAAAGAACTCGGCAAACTGCTTCAAGAACAACTGACTCCCAGGCTAAGCGGGTCCTGCCCAGGTGGACCTGACTGTCGGGTCCACAGGAAGCCTCATCTCCTTTTCCRAAACTGTCTCCCGATCACAGCAGCCAGGAGAAGAGTCGACTGCTCCTTGCTAAAGAAGCTGTTTCTTTTGTCTGCATGTCTCACAACTTTATTTGGTAATAACTCCTGAGGCCGAGGGGGTCTCACTCCAGGTAACTCGGACCAAGCCACAGCCTGTGCTCAATGAGGATGGAGTCCAGGACCACACCCTCCGTACAGCTATCCTTGGCCCTTCCACACTGTGCGGAGGCAGGGACCAACCCCAGCGCACTCTCTTCACAGCCAGGGTGCACCCTCTGAAACATCCCCTGGAGGGCAATGTTGTCCGTGCGTATTACAGGACCTCRGCAGCGAGAGTCCTCGGGGACCTAGTCAGTGAACTCACCTCAGGGAAAACCCTCAATGCAAAAAAGGCTTAGACTCAAAATGTCCCTCAGAGCCCTTTGTGAAGTAAGCACAAATCACATGATTGAACCGACCCTCGGCCGAGGCAGGCACCCAAGGCTGTGCTCCACGTGGAACGTCACACAGCCCTCACGTGAGGGGCAGCTGAAGGTGAAAAAAGGGGGAACCAGAATGGCAAGGGTCAGACCATCCCCACCGCTCCCACACTCAGCGCCCCTGCTGGGCAGAGCCCAGGGAGCCACTGTCACCAAGCCACTCACTTTGCTRTCCATTTTCTTCAGGTCTGAGAGGCAGTCAGAGGTGATGTCTTCACATTTCAAGGTCAGAGAGAAACGAGCTAATTCGAAAAGCAAAAGCATTCTGGAAAGAAGCAGATGGGCACTGGTTCAACAGGGGACCGAGCACACGGATGGGGCAGGTGGACAGCCAGCCCCTATTCCAGCACCAGTGTGAAAAGTAGAATAAGAAATAAAACAATGAAATCAACCAGCTAATGAATGAGTCCTGGAGAGGCCCCAGCCAGCCCCACCAGGCCCAGGCTGCTCTCTGCAGTGAGTGGCCTCCCAGTGCAGCCTCYGCGGGTCTTCAAGTCGAGCGCACACCTGCAGCAAGCCTACACGGTGTCACCAAGGCCTCCAGCACAGCCCCAGTGTGTCACCTCCACATGGGCCGGCAAGGGGCAGGCAGGAGCAGGTATGGGGGGGGGGTGCTGCAGGGAGGATGCCTGGGCTGCTGGAGCAGAGTCCTCCCTCCCAGGGTCCAGCACTGGCCGTCACCCACAGGGGCCAGCTGTGTGAGTCAAGAGGAGAAAAACTGCAGGGTGGGTTACTGGTTTTCAGTCACCACACAATTTGAACAGAATGGATCCCCCTGCCCAGAACTCCAGACACACAAGCCCAGGGGGGCTCAGCAGAGCCTGCAGCGAGTCCAGAAGCCTCCACGGCCCTCTGGGCATCAGGGAAGGACCGATACCCCCAAGAGGCTGTGCTGCAGTGCAAGTGGTACCTCAGCCTGCGGACACCACATCCCCCGGGGCTGACAGCAGGACACAGGTCACACACTGGATCCCAGGGAGACCCTGCCTGTTCACACGGAGACGAGACCTTGTGGCTGCGTTACCAGATGTGGTACCCAGATCAGCAGTCCACATGGCAGCGGGTCCAGGACCACGCTGGGTGGAGACCCTTCCTCCCTGTCACAGGTGCAGGGCTGGCCACAGCAAGGCCACCTGCAGTCCCTCTGAGCACTTAGTCTGGGACCCCAGGAAGCAGGAAAGGACATACGCACCAAGGCCCCAAACAGTGTGAGGCCCTGGGTTGGTGGGAAGAGCAGCCCAAATCACTCTCAGATTAAATACCACATTTCTGTCCATAAAGAAACTGAAGAGAGTAAGTGGTGAACAGGGGCAGTGGGAGTCATAGTGGAGCTCAAGAGTCCAGACTTTGACAGAAAAGGCTCCTAGAGTCTGACTGGACTCATTTATACCCACTTTTAAAACACCAGGTAAACAGAAAGAACAGGAAATTAACAACCACAAACAATGCCTATAAATCTTTAGAAAACACACTCCATTTCAAAGTGGCGAGAGAAATGAGGAGTGAAGTGGTGGCAGGCCATTCTTCAGCAGACAGGCACAGACAGCACGCCTGCGGGAGGGGGGCACTAGCCACTCACGTGCCTGTCAGCTTGGGCAAAGAGCACCCAGCACCCGTGTCTACAGACATCCCGTGGGGGACACGAGCAGACCAGGATGGCCTGGMTCCAGCCACAACTCCTTAGAGGATMTGACCACAGATGTGGATGTCCCTCCTGGGACACCTGTGTGTGGGCACCTGCTCCCCCCAGGAGCCACTGCTGACCTGGCCCACCTGCAAAAGGGGACTTCAGCCCTCTGCTCTGCCCGTCTCCTGCCATAGGACCTGCAGGTCCTGGTCCCGCCTCCAGTGCGCCCTCCTCTGAGAAGACCCTGATGTCCTCACTGGACTGTCCAGGCCTCCGACCCTGAGCTCCAGCTGACTCTTTCCTTTCTGCGATCAAACACAATGCCACCAGGTCCGGTATCCATGGGCACAGAATACTGTCAGCTCCCAKTGCCTGGGAGGTGCTGCTTCCCTGGTCCAGCCCCAAAGACCTGAGGTGTCCAACATCCTGTTCTGGGTTCAACAGGACTCTTGCCCACGGACACAGCCAGAAGGCCAGCACGTCCTGTTTTATGTTGCAGAGTTGTGGTCATGTGTCACACAGCCATAGATGACTCACAGGTTCCTGGACAGTCTCACCCAGTGCCACAGGCTGGGAGTCCTTTGGACTTTCCTCTTCCTCACAGGGAGGACCACCCTCACTCCGTGTGCCTCCTCTTCACTAAAATACGCAGAGACTGTCCTTCTAATGAGACATGTCGTGGGGGCAGAGGCCAAGCCTGGGGTGCACCCTTCTGGGGAACACAGTCCAACATACTGTACCCCGGACCCATGATCAAATGGCAAACTGAAAAAACACCCCAAACAGTTGTTTTCAGGCCTAGGGTCACAATGCTGCTGATGTCAGGGGTGATTGCAAGTTAATAAGAGTCTCAGAAGACCCCAGCCAAAAGATGAGGCTCAAAAGGTGAGGCCAAGGCCCACAGAGGCGGCTGCATGTTAAGCCWGGCTGGTGATGAGTCATGCAAAGGAAACCGAAGCAACGGGGTGATCTGCCCCCAGACCCACTTGTCTCCAACACAAAGAGCTGTTCGGGAGCCACAAACAACTGGGGGATGGGGGGACCAAATCCCTGCCACCTGCCCTGGTGGGGAGAAGTTTCTAGAGCCCTCGGGCTGCCCAGGCTCAGCGCCTCTCCTGGGATCATCCCTGGACAAGTGCTCAGAGGGCTCCAGGGAGCTCCAGATGTGCTCAGGAAAGACGGGCCTCCTGCGCCACCATGTGCGTGAATCTCGGGCTCTCCCACCTGATGGATTCAGACACTGTGAAAGGCTGTGACACTCGGCAATGCCTGTGCTGATTTTGCCAAGTGGGATGTGAGGTCACATATCCCAGGTGCACCAAACAACACAAACCTCAAGAAAGAAGGACCAGAGAGAGATGCATTAAAATCTCTGCTAGCTTTTGCAGGTACTTCTAGCTGCTTGTTCTGTATCTTTTCACGTGTTCCAGCACTTTCTGAATGCTGCACAGAGATCCCAGAGACTACACATTGGAAACACAAACACTCACTTTTCTCCTCTCATTGCAGGAAAGCGCTGGATGTTACACAGACCTATCTGTCTGTAGGCCCTCTTCAGAATCGAAGAGACGTCTTCCGGTAACTCATTTTTATCCAGCTTTCTAGAATTAATTTGGAGAGCAAATAACCAAAGCATCCTTACAGATGTTTATTATTATTCTAAGGGAAATGTTAAATCCATGAACCTGTATTTCCCAGTGAACATAGGCCGAGCCTGTCCCTCCTGCTATCTACCCACCACTCCCAGAAAGGTTTTCACTCCTCATCTTTCCTCACCTTCTAGGAGTTATTCACTGGAAAAAAAAAAAAAAAAAAAAAAAAAAAACCTTGGAAAAATTTACATGGGCCACCAAGACAGAGAAGCACTTCACCTAAGACCACCAGCACAGAAGCCCTGGTCTCCTCTCCTCCTCACAAGAGACGAGGCCAGACTCCCCTCGACAACGCCCCACTGAGCTGCCTAGCCTGCCTCCTCCAACCCTCTGTACCCAGGTACACTGTGGCCTGATGGTCCTCGGCAGGCAGAGTCCTTGGGCCCCAAGTCCTCTGGCTCCTGCAGCCCTGACCCCCACCCASTGACACAGGACCCCCGTGGGCGGGCGGGGCAGGCTTCTGAGCTCAACCCTGGAAAGTTCAGCCTTTGCTGCCTCAGGACTACTCACGCTTTGAGGGAATTGATGTGGAAAGACACTGACAGGCTGATGGAAGTTTTCTTTTCCATCTTTAAGTGAAGCTCATCCATTAATTCATGACGAACCTGTTATAAGRTGGAACAGGACGAAGGAGGTAATTAAGTAGTGATTCAGGTTTGTGCTTAGATATTATTTTCTTCTTCCTGTAAAATCAATTCTTGTAATTAAGATGTATTTTCTCATTGAAGTTTTACAGCTTTTTATATATAACTTAAGGTGATCCCTATACCTGAAAATAATAGCCAATGAATAATATAAAAATTAACGCTTTAGGGACACAATCCTATAGTAATCACTTATACCTTTACAAATTATTGGTTAAACTTGAAAAAATTCCATGCTGTTACAAAAGGATTATGTAAAGAGAAATAATGAGGGCAAAGATTCTGTTTTGTTTTTTTAAAAATAATGGCTATGTCCATCTGCTCTCAGGTGAATGGCCATGTCTTTGTTTTGCTCAGGTGTGAACGTACCTTTCTTTTTTTTAAAAAAAAAGAGAGAGAGAGAGAGAATTTTTTAATATTTATTTTTTAGTTTTTGGTGGGCACAACATCTTTATTTTATTTTTATGGGGTGCTGAGGATCGAACTCAGCGCCCCACACATGCCAGGTGAGCGTGCTACCGCTTGAGCCACATCTCCAGCCCGAGCGTACCTTTCTATACTCTCAATTAATGGCCTTGTTGGTGGTTTTCATGCATAGCTTTCTGAACAATGATCTTCAGGGAAACTACTGCTGATACCTGTTTTCAAACACGTCCACTCACCATGACGGAGTATATCTGCTGGTACTTGTGGGGCACGTTGGCTTTTATGAATGGCGCTGCCGTCAAACAAAACTTGGCTGCCTCCTCCTTTTTCCCAGCTTGCAGGTAACACTCAAGAAGTTCCCTTGGTAACAGAGAGGGTGGGTACTGAACCTCCYGAAATGTCCTTCTGTGCAAATGCCAGGCCTGGGTCACTTCCTCTCATAGCTGTGTGTCTTGAAGAGTTTAGAAAGAGGACTACAGTGTGACCAGGAACTGGTCTGCAGGAGGGAGAGCCACTGCCCCACACACKGGAGGGAGAGAACTGTATCCTCCMGAGGGACAGGGAGCTGTGGGCATTGTGAGCACCTCAAAGATCTCATCTATATTTATTTTGTTTTAAAATCTCCCCACAYGGCCCCTAGTGGTGCCCCTAACCCACAGCCACAGACTTGGTCAATACAAGTGGGACCCTGTGGCCACAACTGCCCAGTCACTGAGACAGGCCCTGTTTCTGTCCAGCTGGCATGCTGGCCAGGCCTTGCTGACCATCTGCCCCTGTGGCTTCTCAGGACAAGCCCTGTCTGTCCCTTGTGCTGCCTGGCAGATGCGCAGGCTCTCGATGGCTCAGGCATTTGTGAGAAAGCCTCCCACGCTGAGYGTTGACCACACCAGGACCACACTGCCTTCACTTTGAGTCTAGACTTACATCTCTGTTTTCTGTGGAAACACCCCCAGGAAGACTCACCCATAGATTTCAAACCTCTGCTGAGGTGCAAACCCAGTCCCAGTATGGAAGGGAAAGTGGGGCTCTGAAGGGAGGCTGGCGGGGAGGCAGGCAGGGAGGCTGGGAGAGAGGCAATCAGGGAGACTGGCAGGGAGGCAGTCAGGGGGGCTGGAGGCAGGCAGGGAAGCTAGCAGGGAGGCTGGCGGAGAGGCAGTCAGAGAGGCTGGCAGGGAGGTTGGCAGTGAGGCTGGTGGGGAGGCAGGCAGGGAAGCGGCACCTGGACTCACAGCATCAGCTCCGCCCGCCATTCCTTGTCTTCCTCCTCTGTCTGGTTTAGCACGCTCACGATCTGGGAGAGGCTGGGGATCACGTACTGGTGGCATCCAGGCTTGAGGAACGGCCTCACCATGTGCCAGTAGAGCACGGAGGCATTGTACACCAGGAAGTAGTACCTGCGGCCAGAGGGATCTGAACAGCTGGCGCACAGGAGGCCCGTCTCCCTGTGCTCTGGTGGGCGGAATGCAGACGCCTCCGGCCTCCAGCTGATGGAGGTGGCCCCTCAGGAGCACAGGATGCAGAGCCATCCCTGGGCAGGGTGGCAGCCACTTTGAGCAAGCCGAGGTTCCAGACCAGGGGAAGACCCAGCCATGGCTCCTCAGTTTGCACTGGCTCCTGGAGGTGCCACCACGCTGCCTGACCTGGAAGATGACCAGGAATCGGCTGGGCGCCAGCTGACTGTGTRCATTCCCGTTTGTGTGCAGACTCTGGTTTCAAAGCCACACTGACTGTGGTGTGGGAAGCACCAATAGAGTGGGATCTGGGGACTCGGTGTCCAGGGGCATGGATGGCCAGCCCACGGGGGACACAGAGGGTGGCCAGGGCACCACTCAGAGGGATGCCATAGAGAACGACGCTGACTGGCCCCATGCAGGCCAAGGAAACCAGAGTAGCAGGCGGCTCTGTGGGGATTTCTATGAATGTGGTGGCTGCACCTGCCAAGACGCATCTACCACCACCAATCAATCCACTGACAGCATAAGACACAGGAAAAGTGCTGGGAAACAGACAGTCCAAATACAYGGGTCCACAGGGCCACCTTTGGCGACTGTCTTCACCCAATCCATTRGAAGAGGGTTCAAGCTTGCCTACCTGGGTTCCCCTTTTGCAAAGTTTATAGCTTTCATGTACTGAGTCACGCAGTTTTCAAATTCCTCCTGAAATGGCACAAGAAGGCACAGCTCGATTTGGCTCTGCTCAGGTCACKTCTGTGAACACCATATCCCCACGCAGTGGCCCAGCAGACAGGCAGCTGCACCTGTCACGCACCTGGCCTCCCTGTGCTCCCCTCCCTCAGCTTAGGGACAGCTGCARGGGCAGAAGGCAGAAAGACCATGACACTACCACGCCAAGGTAAAGGGTCACACATAGGACCAGACACCTGAGAAAACTCTGTACGTTGACATCACCGTGAAAACGAATTTGGAGACTTAATTCCCTTCTGCTTCAGCCCCTCAGCACTTGTCTAGCCTGCCCTGCTTCTAGAGGCTGCTGAGCACCAGCCCTCTCACCAGGTTGTCTGACGACGTAGGGGCACACAGCTGGGCCCTGCACAGGTGTGCTCGGCCCAGAAACTGGGTGACTGGCCCCTTCACCTTGAAGTACATTTGGATGCAGTCCTCGCTCATCTCTGGCTGCCCCATCTGCAAGAAGACACAATGAGGGCAGGAAAGACCCTCTTTGGGTGGAGGAGCCTTGACTGCAGACAGGGAAAGCAGGGCAGGCCCAGCGGAGTTTCTGTCCCCAGGAGCACCCATCAGAGCCCTCCCCACCAGCTGCTGGGGGCCAGTCACCTTGAGGGCCTGCTCTGCACACAGCACGAACAGGTCCGGGCTAAAGCTCTCTGAGGGGTCGAACTCAGACTTCCCCATGTTGGCAGACTTGATGAGCTCGTAGGCTYGCTTCAGGGCGGCCTGGTCTGCGGGGCAGAGGGTCCGAGAGAAATTGGGGGTATGAAGAGGACAGCCGCGGCCAGGCTCTCCTATGTTCCCCTGGCCTGTCCTTGGGACAAGYGGGGACATATTCCCTGGAACCCTAGTCAGGCCGCCCCGAGCCTCGCCAGCACTGTAGTCAGGGGCAGGGATTACAAAGGGCCAGCCACTGCTTAGAACAGGGAGGAAGTCCTGGTCTCCGCCCTACCGCGGCCCTCCAGGGTCTCCACCTCCCAGAGAGTGGGGTCCAGAGGTCTCCTGGGGCGGGGTCAGGGGCGGGGTGCTCCCCTCCTGGGGGCTGCTTCCCGGACCTTCCAAGTGTAGGGTCGGGGTCCACTGCCTCCCTGGAGAGGGGTCCCTGGGTCCTCTYCTCCAGGGGTCTGGGGTCCTGGGTCTCCTCGAGGCGGGGGCGGGCCCACCTTGGTGGCTTTCGGTGCGGGCCAGCTCTTGCGTGATGACCAGATCCATGGTGCCGCTCGCTGCCTACAGTCAGTGGTCAGTCAGCCGCTGCCCGGCGGACCCACGGTTGCCTAGCACCCGGAGGGACGCGGGCCGGTGGGCGGGGCCGCCCAGGGCGGAGCGGACCTGCAGGCGGGGCGGGGCGGGCCAGGGCTGGCCGGGGCGGGGTCGCCTGCCAGGAGTCCACCGCTGAGGTTGGAGGTCCCAGTGTAGCGGAGGTCCCAGTGTAGCGCAGAGCCGGGGCGGGAGCAGCAGGTGCCCCGCCCTCCGCCCAGGGCAGCGGGGGCAGCGCCTGCTGAAGGGCGGCCTCCGGCTCAGACCCGGCTGCGGGAGGACCTTGGATCAGCCTGAGAAGGAGCTGCAGGCTCTGCTACCCTGAGGATCGTCCCTGTGATAGCGGGAGGTGTCCCCGCAGATGGGAGGTGTTGGGAGGAAAGAATGGAAGGCCTTTGGTCTGGAGAGGGGCCTCTAAAAGTAAAAGACACCCAAGGCTTTGACAAAAATTTGCAGGCGTTTTGCGGTGCAGTAAGACCTTGCAAGACAAGGATCCGCAGCAAGACAGCAGCCTGAGTGAACTGGCCCAGAGCAGGAGGCGTGGCCCACCCAGAGCCACAGAAAGGCACCACTTMAACGGGTACCACCGAGCCCCTCCTGGAAGGGGCCAGGGACCAGGAGGTGCGTGATCCTGCTCCATGGGCGGGCTGCCAGCTGACCCAGGGGCCCATCAGGAGAGGTTTGCCTGTCTTGAGCTGGGAGGCCTTGGCCTGTGGGTGCTGCCGCTACACAGGTCCCTCCCCAGAGCAGGAKGCCCCAGGCACAACCCAGACAGGGATCCTTCAGGACCCCCATGAGCCGGTTCCAGAATCTAGGCAGAGACACAGAGGGCTGTGCAGCCTGGATGGCCCTGGGAAAAGCAGGGCAGAGGGCCACCTGTGCCTGCAGCCTAGGGTGGGCCAGGCTGGGCCTGGTGCGCGGCAGGCCCTGAGGCTGGAGTGGAGGAAAGGCCACCCCTCAAGCCGCAAGGCTGGATGGACCAAGGGGCGTGGACCGGAGGAGGCTGGGGTCCTCCATCACCAGGCCTGGTGCAGAGACGGGCAGCCTAGGATTTGGAGAATGAAGACCATTCTTCCGCCGTGGAGCAGGCGCCATGTTCTAGGCCACCAAAAGCAAAGTAAGAGAAAAACTAGACCACCCAGCCTCCTGGAAAGCCACCCTCCGCTCCGCCAAGGGAGACTGGAGTCAGGGAGGAAAGGCCGGTCCCCCAGAGAGGCCTCGAGGCGGTCATGTCAAGGACAGAGAGGAAGCCATGAGCCTAGTTCCCACGGCCAGTGGCTCAGATGGCCGCAGGAGCGGCAGGAGGCCCAGCGCCAGGAGGCCCAGCACCAGCAGCGCCTGGGTGAACAAAGATGGCCTGGAAGCCCCAGGAGGGCCGGCCGAGGGGCAGGGCCGTGCAGGGGTGGGCACGGCTCGGGCTCACCCATGCGGGTGCTACTGGCACGCCTGGCCGGGGGGTTTGGAACACAGTCCAGCAGGCACCTGCCGGCCATCCAGAGGCCAGCCCTGGGCGCGGCCGAGGCCGGAGTGTGGATCTGCTGAGCCTCCAGGGTCCCGCGCTGCAAGCAGTGAGGCGCCTGGAGCAGCCACAYAGCGCCTCGTCACAGTGGCCCAGAGCCCTGAGAAGACCAGACCTGAGGGCCTGCGGCCTGGGCCTCACCCATGGGCAGGCTGGTCCCGGGGCTTCACATGGGATGGGATGGTCCATGGAGGGCATCTGAGGAGCCGGATCTATGGTGGGCATCTGAGGAGACGGGTCTGTGAGGGCTGAAGAGATGGGTCCATGGTAGGCATCTAAGAAGATGGTCAGGACATGGTGGCGGGTGCCTGAGGAGATGGTCCGTGAAGGTGTCTTAGGTTGGTCCATGGCGGGCATCTGTGATTGGTCCGCGACGGGCATTTGTGATTGGTCCGTGGGGGTATCTGAGGAGATGGTCAGGCAATGGTCCGTGGCAGGCATCTGTGATTGGTCCGTGGCAGGCATCTGTGATTGGTCCGTGGCGGGCGTCTGTGATTGGTCCGCGACGGGCGTTTGTGATTGGTCCGTGGGGGTATCTGAGGAGATGGTCAGGCCATGGTCCGTGGCAGGCATCTGTGATTGGTCCGTGGCAGGCGTCTGTGATTGGTCCGTGGCAGGCGTCTGTGATTGGTCCGTGATGGGAGTCTGAGATTGGTCTGTGGCGGCTTCTGTGGTTGGTCGGTGGCCAGCTTCTGAGGAGATGGTCTGTGTCTGGTGTCTGTG